CAAGGATATTTGGCATGCAGCCAGGAGGCAGCCTGGGATCGAACCACCGACCTTCTGATTAGTGGCTGACCTGCTGACCTCCACCTGAGCTACCCTAACCTCACTGCTGTCCTTATAACACACACACACTGGAAACAGTCAGTAAAATGATCTAAATGAGCTAAACAAACACGCTCTCTGACTCATAGAAACGAAGTAAATCCTCTGATAGGAACAAACAAACATTCAGTGAACTCAGATTCAAAATGTAACTTTTTACAAATATTTCTTTAATTTTCATACAAAACTTTACACTGAACAAACAAACTTTGAAGTGTTTTCTAAAAACAGCTGTTTGTGAATTTACAGAAGAAAGTGTGAATGTTGATGTTTGGACTCGTTTGACAGTTCGGCCTTTAATCGAACAAAAACCATCATTTTACACACCAGTAAATTTAGCCGGGCACACGTGGACTCCATCAAACTGCACCAGCAGAGCTTAACTGTACCTGTCATAACTGTAACGTTCAAATACATTTATTAAACACCAAAACCTTATTTGCTTTCAGCAGCCAGCGACTCTCACAGACCTGATGCAGAACGTTTGAGTCTGAAATCTTATCTCACTAATGGCAGCAAAGAATTTGTGGGACTTGTCCCCAGAACAGTGGAAACATGAACGTATAAGACCTCGTAAGGAGATTAGTGAGCGGTACAGAGCGAGTCATAAGTATCACTTAGTGCACAAGTCCCCTAAAGAGCAGTTAAGAGCAAATAATCCTGGAGTGGAGCATGTGATGGAGCTCAAAGGACCTGGATTATGGGAGGAAACCTGGAAATACCGCGACCACGGCCCTGGCCCCATGGTGGAGATGGCAGATTTAAAATCCCTAAATTAAGTAGATTATGCTTACTGCCACACTCCCGTGTTTTCAAGTAAGGAAATGTGTGTTAACTGTAAGAGAGAAGCAGTTCAAACTGTGTGAAAACTTCAGGAGTCAAAATATTGATAAAGAACAGATCTGTGTGACATCACGGCTTGTTTATCTTATACTCACTGATTACTGCTGAGCTCCATGTGAGGCTCCTGGAGGACGCCACAGCAAACAGCTGGTGAGGACACATCTTTGCTCTCAGTGCTGACAAAGCTGCACCTCTCAGCCGATGTGTGGGAGAGCTCCACTGCAGCACATCACAGTTAAGGTTATCCAAACCATGAATGAACTGTGAACAACCATGTTTTGTTAATGCCGAGTTTAACTGCACTCGCCCAGGCCGGTTACTGTCTATGTGTTAAATCAATAAATCTCTTAAACAGAAACTTTCTGAGGAAGTGAACTGGGCTAAAAGATCCTTAAAAAGCATTTTATGATCTAAAGAAACTTAAGAATGATTAAGAAAATAGATGAAGGACATCTATCAGTCTGGAAATGGTTACAAAGGTATTTGGAGTCCAGGGACCCACAGAGATCCATAGCTGTGAAAACCTGAAACAGGGAACCTTCAGAATTCGCCGACCGACCAAATTTACTCCAAGAATCATTAGTGTGTCAGCGACAACATAACAAACGAACACAAAACAACATTAAAGGCCTCACTTGCCTTTAATGTTGGTGTATGTGATTCAAAAATATGAAAGACACAATGTTCGGTTTGGGTTTCATGAGTTCTAAGACAAAAACACCGCTGATGAATAGTCTGCATGGATCTGTAGATGCAGCCTGACTCTGTGTGGAAATAAAACTACTTATTGTTGCAAATATTTTGAATCTTTGATTTCAGGCTTTGCTTGGAGAGATCTTGCATGTTAATGTATCACACATCTGGAAGGATGCAGCAGACTTACGTATCGTCTTCAGTTGATGTGTGCGCCTCATGGAGGCCCTGATGATGTCAGAGCCATGGATGCGATCCTGATGGCGAAGCTGCTTCGTCTCATAGAACCACTCTCCAGTCAAGTATCTCAGCTGGCTTCTGTTCATCGCGGACTTCTGCAGGTTTCTGAGTGACAATTATAACAGTTAATAAACTTACCCTTAATACATTTCTATAGTACAGGAGACATACATATATATATATATATATATACATATGTGATAATAAGAGATTGAAGTTTCATTTTTATCTGCACCTCAAATTGTCCAATTAAATGTTTTCATAATCGATATCTTTGTTTTTCCTGTGACTGAACAATAGAGCGACTGACTCACTGGACACGTTGGTCCTCGAGCTTCTTCAGCTCAGCATCTCGTTTCAGCACAGTCAGGATGGTTTCCTGTTCCTCTTTGGTCAAGAAACTCAGGTCAATCATGGTGACAGTCGCCCCTGTGTGATGCTCTGAGCTTGTGTTTAGTCATGTAGCTATCCTTCAAGCTCACAGATGCTTTTATTGATCCTTGAAGTCAAACCAAGCTGTGTTTGATCCATGAACAGCTAAATACTAAGACAGAAATTCAGACGTTACTTTTTTCATCTGGACACATTTGTCTTTAGCTGGGTTCGTTTCTGCATCAGTGCTTAAATCTGAAAGAATCAAAAGAGGGAGGAGAAATTCTTTTACCTGATTCAGAAAAGTCTGCTTCTCTGTTAGCCTTCAAAAGTAGTGAGCAGTGGAGCGATAGAGAGATCGGTGCAGCAGCTTTGCTGTTAGCTTTACTTAAGCTGCACATAATAAGCAGACGGCCTATAATATTATGCATATATGCATCATTTCAACAGTTTTATATGAGCAGAAAGTTTAACATCTAACTTTGTTACATAGAAAATGAGCTTTAATGCTCCTTTAATATGGTTTCATACATAATTCACACACTACGGGAGTCATAACATCAGTCTTAACTTTTGACTGGACATAAAGTGGATGCATTAAAATGATATCTCAACCATTTACAGTTATAGTTTCTGCTATTTCCTGAGTATGAAGCTAGGAAGAAATCAACTCACCTCCTGCTGTAGAGCCCTGAGTGAAAGCTAAGCTACAAGCCCTGAGCTGATGTAGAAAGGTGGAGCTTCAGAGGACAGCTGAAGGAGGCGGCAGACAGAGGATGGAGGTTCTGCCTACACCATGTTTTACTCTGCAGAATATCACTTTGAGTCTCAGGAAGACCGCCTCACTGAAAACAACCTTGCATCATCATGTAGCGTGTAGACTTTGTTACTGTCACACTTACAGTACAACTACATACAAACTGAGACTTTATTGAGTCAATAAATAAACCTTTGAGTTCAGATTTGTTGCGATTTGTTTTCTTGATACTGAAGTCACCACAACAACCTCAAAGCGTGACCATTTTATTGTGTCACAGAGGACAGCAGGTGGACCTGAGTGCAGATTCAAACCTGGAAAACAGCGACAAGGATTCTCAAGCTTTATTGATAAACACAAGGATAAACAATGGCACGACGAAGGAATGACTAGTGTGATATCTGAGATACAATGTGGACAGAGCGAGAGAGCGATGAGGAGAACTAAACACTGAATTCAATGATACTAAATGGGTTTACTTGGCAGGTGGAGTGTGTGAGGCTCGTGGGGAGAGGGAATGGCTGGGTGGGTGTCCTGGAAGGTGGGTGTGTGGAGAGAGTCTGACCTGTTTTATCTGATCTACAGGAGCCGTGGGCAGGAGGGCAGGCGGGGGGGAGGAATGAATCCGGGAACAGAGCGAAGACTAATGGCAACCAGCGTCCAGAGAAAGAGCTGGAGGCGAGTGATGGTCCAGAGAGGTGATAGAGGCACAACACAGAGACCATAAACACGAAGCAAGAGTGGGCTGTTACTAACGTGGGCTCAGCTGATGAACTGGTGGAGAAGAGATGTTGACGCTGGGCTTAAATACTGCCTTACTGATTGTCTTGGATCCACCAGGTGAGATGAGCAGATGGACTGATGAGGGCTCTGCCCAGAGGTGGAGGAGCAGGGAAAACGTGGAAAAACACAGGACGCTCGCCTGGACTGGGTGTAACGTGGGGTGTGTGCACGTGGATGAGGTAAGCGTCAGCTTGACAGCAGATGGACCGATAATGGTTTCAACTTCGTGTGGTCTAATGTAGCGTGGATTCTGAATCCAGACATGACAGCAGCGGTGGAGGTGATGCTGGACCGAAGCAACGGCAAACTCCGGCACATCCGCAGGAAACAGCGGAGGTTGGTAACCTAGTGACACTTTGGAAACACTGGGGAAAGACCGGCTGCATACTCAACCCATGGAGGGCATGTTGACCAGGTTGCCGGATTATGTTTGGTGATGCAGCGGAGAGTGGACTCTAGCTCCTGGTTGAGACTCTCCATCAGGCTGATTGAGGGTAGTAGCCTAAACTAGACTGGCCTTGGCCCTGAATGCTGAACAGAAAGCCTTTCAGACTGGGGGAAACTGGGGACCTCTGTCTGACACGATTTCTGCCAGAATGTTGTGAAGCCTGAAGACATGGTCCACCTGGAGTTTTGCTGTAGGGAGTTTATACAGTGCAATGAAGTGGGCGGACTTGGAGAACCTGCCAATGATAGACAGGATAACAGACTTGCCAGAGCAAACAGACTTGCCAGAGCAAACAGACAGAGCGGTGACAAAGTCTACGGCCATATGCAACCATGGCCGATGGGGAGTAGCGAGTGCCTGGAGCAGACTGAAGGTCATTGAGTTCTATTGTTTCTCCGTGCACAGGTGGTACATGGTGGTACCATGGTGACATACTCCCGGAGATCCTTCTCAAGGGTTTCCCACCAGAAATTAAGGAAATGGTCGTACCTTCCAGGTGAACCTTGCAGCACCTCCATTTTCACCTCTATGCCCAACCAAACCCTACATCAGCCAAGCCTGCTACCAGCATCATTCTCACCTCCACGCATGCCATCACACATCCAGTCCCTCAGAAGGGATTTATTGTTTATTGTATTGTTATCATGAACCCAAATACAGTGCAACCTCTCTGAACTGAGAAGGCAATAAATCTAGGACAGCTCGTCCCCTGTCTGCCTCTCTGTGGTGCTGTGAAGTAACAAATCTCTTATTGCAGGTGTACATACTTCTCATTTCATCACCACGAACTCTGGTAGATTCTGCATCTTTTGGCAAAATACCTTCATTCATAGCTTCACTCAGATGGTGTCATGTGTGGCGGCAACCAGGTGAGGAGTACAAAGATGAGTGTGTCTTGCCAACAGTCAAACATGGTTTGGGGGTGTATGAGTGCTGCCGGGGAGCCACAGTTCATAGATGAAAGCATGAATGCCAACATGTGCTGTGACATACTGAAGCATCATATGACCTGGATGAGCATTTAAACAGCAGTAACACTTTTCATTACAGTAGTTTATTTTGGAAAAGGGCTTAATTCCTCCATTGTTACTGTTTTCAGTACCATGTGCCAAAACAGAACAGAGCAGCTAAACTGTCCCACAGAAGTCGATTATCTCGTTAACAGTATTACATAATCACTTCTAATCCTTCAGCACTGGAGACAATCTAATACTATTGATATTCATTTACTCTGACGGATCCTTCATTTGATCCTTGATCTGCTAACTTCAATAATCACATCACTCTGCTTGTCGTGCGAGACCGCAGTGCAACATTTCATACTGCTGACAACAATATTTATTACACAGATTAGATTATGCGGTAGGAATTAAATGTATTGCACTGCAGTGGTTTGAATCAGATCTAATAGACTCTTCTTCACACACAGAAGGTTAATTATGGAGTTCCACAGGGTTCCATACAAGGAGCAATTCTGTATATATATATTTATATAAGGTAGTATCATTCGGAAAACTAGCACACATTTTTGTTGCTATGCAGATGATGCTATGCAGCTCTCAATGAAGCCAGAGGACACACATAAAAACGGACCATATCGCTCCCATATTGGCTTCTCTTCATTGGTTCCTTGTTAATTCCAGAATCAAATTTAAAATCAGGTGAATAATCAGGTCCCATCTTATCTTAAAGACCTCATATGAACCCAATACAAGACTTTGATCTTGGACTGCTGGTTTACTAGTAATTTCTAAGATATTTTAAAGTAGAATGGGAGGCAGAGCCTTCAGTTTTCAGGCCATCTTCTAGGGCATTGGTTCCCAAACTTTTTTTGCTGGGCCCCCCTTTTGTTTTTCAAGAAAAATGTTTGGGTCCTCCGCCGCGCGTGCGTGCGCGCGCACTCACGCACAAACACATCCTCCAACCACACACACCCATATTTTGCTCCATTGCGGTTTCTTTCACACCTCAAATATTTAGTAAACAATTAAGCAAATACAAGTAATCTATTCAATTCAATTCAATTTTATTTATATAGCGCCAAATCACAACAAAAGTCGCCTCAAGGCGCTTCATAGAT